GGCTCCGGCCTCGAAATTGGGATATTTGGGATATTTTGAAAACTGCAGGGGAGTTTGTGCAAAATGTGACTCATTGCCGCTTTCAGTACTTGGCTTATGTTGGGTATAATAAGTCGTAATATCAAACTGCGAATACGTGCAGAGAGCCAGAATTTGGCTCCAAAATATGGCTCAGGCCTCGAAATTGGGATGTTTGGGATATTTTGAAAACTGCAGGGAGGTTTGGGACAAATGTGACCAAACGCCGCTTTCAGTACTTGGCATATGTTGGGTATAAAAAGTCGTAACTTAAAACTGCGAATACGTGCAGAGAGCCAGAATTTGGCTCCAAAATATGGCTCAGGCCTCGAAATTGGGATATTTGGGATATTTTGAAAACTGCAGGGGAGTTTGTGCAAAATGTGACTCACTGCCGCTTTCAGGACTTGGCATATGTTGGGTATAAAAAGTCGTAATATCAAACTGCGAATACGTGCATAGAGCCAGAATTTGGCTCCAAAATATGGCTCAGGCCTCGAAATTGGGATGTTTGGGATATTTTGAAAACTGGAGGGAGGTTTGGGACAAATGTGACCAAACGCCGCTTTCAGTACTTGGCATATGTTGGGTATAAAAAGTCGTAACTTAAAACTGCGAATACGTGCAGAGAGCCAGAATTTGGCTCCAAAATATGGCTCAGGCCTCGAAATTGGGATATTTGGGATATTTCGAAAACTGCAAAGGAGTTTGTGCAAAATGTGACTCATTGCCGCTTTCAGGACTTGGCATATGTTGGGTATAAAAAGTCGTAATATCAAACTGCGAATACGTGCATAGAGCCAGAATTTGGCTCCAAAATATGGCTCAGGCCTCGAAATTGGGATGTTTGGGATATTTTGAAAACTGGAGGGAGGTTTGGGACAAATGTGACCAAACGCCGCTTTCAGTACTTGGCATATGTTGGGTATAAAAAGTCGTAACTTCAAACTGCGAATACGTACAGAGAGCCTGAATTTGGCTCCAAAATATGGCTCAGGCCTCGAAATTGGGATATTTGGGATATTTCGAAAACTGCAGGGGAGTTTGTGCAAAATGTGACTCACTGCCGCTTTCAGGACTTGGCATATGTTGGGTATAAAAAGTCGTAATATCAAACTGCGAATACATGTAGAGAGCCAGAATTTGGTTGCAAAATATGGCTCAGGCCTCGAAATTGGGATGTTTGGGATATTTTGAAACCTGGAGGGAGGTTTGGGACAAATGTGACCAAATGCCGCTTTCAGCACTTGGCATATATTGGGTATAAAAAAAGTCGCAATTTCGAACTGCGAATACGTGCAGAGAGTCAGAATTTGGCTCCAAAATATGGCTCAGGCCTCGAAATTGGGATATTTGGGATATTTTGAAAAGTGTAGGGGAGTTTGTGCAAAATGTGACTCACTGCCGCTTTCAGTACTTGGCATATGTTGGGTATAAAATTCGTAATATGAAACTGCGAATACGTGCAGAGAGCCAGAATTTGGCTCCAAAATATGGCTCAGGCCTCAGAATTGGGATGTTTGGGATATTTTGAAAACTGCAGAGGAGTTTGTGCAAAATCTTACTACTTGCCGCTTTCAGGACTTGGCATATGTTGGGTATAAAATTCGTAATATCAAACTGCGAATACGTGCAGAGAGCCAGAATTTGGCTCCAAAATATGGCTCAGGCCTCGAAATTGGGATGTTTGGGATATTTTGAAAACTGCAGGGGAGTTTGTGCAAAATGTGACTCACTGCCGCTTTCAGTACTTGGCATATGTTGGGTATAAAAAGTAGTAATATCAAACTGCGAATACGTGCAGAGAGCCAGAATTTGGCTCCAAAATATGGCTCAGGCCTCGAAATTGGGATGTTTGGGATATTTTGAAAACTGGAGGGAGGTTTCGGAAAAATGTGACCAAACGCCGCTTTCAGTACTTGGCATATGTTGGGTATAAAAAGTCGTAATTTCAAACTGCGAATACGTGCAGAGAGCCAGAATTTGGCTCCAAAATATGGCTCAGGCCTCGAAATTGGGATGTTTGGGATATTTTGAAAACTGCAGGGGGTTTGGGACAAATGTGACCAAACGCCGCTTTCAGTACTTGGCATATGTTGGGTATAAAAAGTCGTAATTTCAAACTGCGAATACGTACAGAGAGCCTGAATTTGGCTCCAAAATATGGCTCAGGCCTCGAAATTGGGATGTTTGGGATATTTTGAAAACTGCAGGGGAGTTTGTGCAAAATGTCTCTCTGCCGCTTTAGTACTTGGCATATGTTGGGTATAAAAAGTCGTAATTTCAAACTGCGAATACGTACAGAGAGCCTGAATTTGGCTCCAAAATATGGCTCAGGCCTCGAAATTGGGATGTTTGGGATATTTTGAAAACTGCAGGGGAGTTTGTGCAAAATGTGACTCACTGCCGTGTCCAGTACTTGGCATATGTTGGGTATAAAAGGTAGTAATATCAAACTGCGAATACGTGCATAGAGCCAGAATTTGGCTCCAAAATATGGCTCAGGCCTCGAAATTGGGATGTTTGGGATATTTTGAAAACTGGAGGGAGGTTTCGGAAAAATGTGACCAAACGCCGCTTTCAGTACTTGGCATATGTTGGGTATAAAAAGTTGTAATTTTAAACTGCGAATACGTGCAGAGAGCCAGAACTTGTTTCCAAAATATGGCTCAGGCCTCGAAATTGGGATATTTGGGATATTTTGAAAACTGCAGGGAGGTTTGGGACAAATGTGACCAAACGCCGCTTTCAGTACTTGGCATATGTTGGGTATATAAGTCGTAATTTCAAACTGTGAATACGTACAGAGAGCCTGAATTTGGCTCCAAAATATGGCTCAGGCCTCGAAATTGGGATGTTTGGGATATTTTGAAAACTGCAGGGGAGTTTGTGCAAAATGTCTCTCTGCCGCTTTCAGTACTTGGCATATGTTGCGTATAAAAAGTCGGAATTTCGAACTGCGAATACGTGCAGAGAGCCTGAATTTGGCTCCAAAATATGGCTTAAGACTCGAAACTGGGATTGTTTGGGATATTTTGAAAACTGCATGGGGGATTGGGACAAATGTGACCAAACGCCGCTTTCAGCACTTGGCATATTTTGGGTATAAAAAGTCGTAATATCAAACTGCGAATAAGTGCATAGAGCCAGAATTTGGCTCCAAAATAGGGCGTCCATTAGGGAGGCTCCGGCCTCCCCCGGTGCTGTGAGCCCCAGGGTAGCTGCAGTGAGCACACACTGGCCCAAAAAAGCCAGCTGAATTCAAAGATGAGCTCCAGGCGAGGTGTGGAAAGAAAGTCCAGCCAGGAGCGTTCAATCTGCGCGCCAAGATGGCCGACCTTTCGGGCGGGAATCTCTTCCACAATTAAATCTTTTATTGTAGAGCTGTTGACAACATACTTTTATCTCAACTTAAGTTTTCGCCACGCATAATTTTTTCTCATTTGGAAAATACATTATCATCTTCACTATAAATGACTACTATAGCGTGTCATTTCTGCTCACAGTCATCTCTAAATGAAATGATTACAAATATTTCCCAAGACATAAACTGCCTCATCCAGCCCGCCTCTTCCCTCATTCCAAATCCACAAACCCAACAACAATCCTCCAACTTCATGGGAAGGTCAAGCTTCCCATGACCTTGGAGTCATTGGATATGGGTTTGTGGATGACCTGACCTAGCAGTTTATGCCTTTGGGGAGATCTCCCCCCCCCCTGGCATATGCATTAATGAGATATAATGCATATGCCAGCCAGTCCAAGTCTGAAGATAATTCTTCTTAAGGTTCTTGAGATAATTCTCCTATCTCTCAATTTATTCTTTACCTACTCTTCACAGCAAGTCTTTGTCACCCACATTGAACAATATTCTAAGTCTTCACTACCCCAAAACTTGCCTCACTACCCAGCTTTTTCCTTACCATACATCTTTGCTACCCATCATTTGGTTTGTATTAAACATTCAAGGTTAAATGTTCGCCCTTGATCACCTAGCAGCAATTGAGGATACAGATGTAAGCTGATTGGAGAGTCGCGTTCTGAGTGTAAACTAGTAGAACGTAAGTCAAGAAACTGCAGATGGCCTATTGTCCTGCACGTGGCACTTCCTATTTATATCCACCTACACTCATTCATATACGTCTAACCTAAGCTTCAACCTATCGAAGATTCCTATGCCTATTATGATCCAGTAATATGGATCCAGTGATCCAGTAGTATGAACCACAATCGATTTGAGAATGGTCCAGGACGGACCGAAACGTCGTCGTCCCTTCACCTTCTAGTGTGTGGTCTGGTCAACATACTTCAGCCACGTTATTGTGACTCGTCGTCTGCACAAGATCCAGTAATTTGTTCCACAAATCCACAACCCAGTTACCAAACCAGTATTTACCCAGGTATTTCCTAAATCTGAACTTATCTTCATTTAAAGCTTTATCAATAGCTTCCTTGTTATGCCCATTCATCCACTTGTACTCTTCAATCATGTCAAGTTAAGGTTTTTCCAACATCTCTTTATACGGAAGCTTTCTAATTTACGGGATTAACTTTGTCATCCTAACTGACGTGTTCTAGTGAATTATGTCCATTCTTTAGTATGGCGATCAAAACTGAACTGCATAATCTAAATGGGACCTAAAAACAATACGTTAATAAACCCAGCCGACTTATTGCTAACTCTTCTATAAATAAATCTATGGGAAAGAAAAGCTCTCAGCCTGCTAACAAGAGTGTACAAATCCATAAGGGCCGGGACGAGGATTCAAACCTGCATCCGAGAGCATCCCAGACGCTCCTGTAATCGACTGAGCTACGACATGGTCAAAAGGAGTTGAAACCGAAGTTCTACTGAACTTACTGGGTCCTGCAGCCTCTCCGAGGCGCAAACCAGTGTTAGTGTAACAAGAATGTGAAGTTTTCTACGTCCATCTAGTTCCACCCGCTCCTCCCCAGAACTAGTTGTTAAATAAGCACTTTACCTTGACTCCTCTGATCCAACACTTGTCCACACGTGTCACACTTCTGAAAAAATATTTTTTACATATATTTAGGGCAAGTATAAGTAATTATCAAAAGAATGCACCAAACCAGGAAGGCTATGTAGCACCAGGGTAAGTATAAACAGTTTATTTCAAATACAATCGAGTAGGAAAATATAATTATGAATTTCAAGAACACTGGAACCAATCACTGGAAAAGGTGAAACTGCAATGGAGATTAATTACAGATTGTAACAACAATAGCGAGTAGGCAAGACTGCAATAGCCTAACGGAATACATTTTTGTCTTGGACTCATGAGGCTATGGTAAAGCATCAATGTTCTTTTAAAGTTACATAGAAACACATTATCTTAATAGGGTTTTCCACTAAAAACAAACCTTTAGCTAATCTTAGATAAACGTACTGTGTATTATTCATTTATTTAGCTGTGTATTGGCCTAAATTATATAAACAACATGCTTAAAACCTCTCAAGTACAGTATATGGTCCATGAGCACCAAACCAACGTTAGAAGTCTAGTGGTTACATTGTCAAAAATAAACATTTACAGGTGAAACCATTTTATATCGCAGAGTAAACAAGATGGAAACAATTATCTTCCACATTTATTTGCACAATTGCCATCCTGATATGACCACTCCATCGCCCTAGTCGTTAACACACTAAGTGCAGGCGATGAGTCACAATATCGTGGCTGAAGTAGTTTGACCAGACCACACACTAGCAGGTGAAGGGATGACGACGCTTCGGTCCGTCCTGGACCATTCTCAAGTGGACTTGAGAGTGGTCCAGGACCGAAACGTCGTCGTCAACACACTAAACAATCTAGGGTGACTTGTTGCTAAACATTACAAGTCACCTTTAGCTTAGCTACAAGACACGTTGTGCATATTATCAAACTACCTTTAATGTCATAATGCAGCAGTTTGCGCACTCAAAATACATATAGACAAACTCCTCAGGAACCGTAGGGGAACCTTTGACAAGCCGCCGGCTTCCTGTTGCCGTAGAGGGCACTATGGAGAAATGGTGGCCCTCTGGTAAATTTAAGTCAATATTACCTAGGAGTTATGATGTACCAGCCATTGAACATCTGGGACTCAGTTAATATGAAAACAATCCTTAAGAATAGTTAAACGAATCTTTGACTTAAACGAACAACATTGAATATTCAACTGTACGAGTCTCTGTTGTGGTCCCATCTGGCCTACTGTGTCCTAATATGGAAACTTCACTTCAAAAACACATCAATGATTTTCCGCTTTGGAGAAAGTTCAAGACAGCAACAACAATCATGCCAGAACTTGTTCAACTGTCACTACCACGAATCTTTGAAGGACTAACACTATAAATGTTTAAATTGTTATAGAGTTTGATAGATTACCCTAGAAATTTTCCTAGAAATTACCTCCTTAATATTATCTGTTAGATTAAGGCCCTGCCCGAAGCGCTATGCGTATTAGTGGCTTTACAAGAATGTAAACACATCATGCTATGTACTCTCAGAAACCCAATGTAACTTCTTGTAGATATATAAATAAATAAATAACAGCCGAGGCCTTTGTAATACTATTTTAATGCATTGCTTTATACTTTGTAAAGTCTTTTAGAGAAGTGCTTTGTATTTATAACCTCCAACTTGGTCAGTATTACAAATTAAACAAAAAAAAATGATAATACTGACCAAATTGGAGGCTATTAATACAGACCACTTCTCTAAAATGCAATATTTGACATAGACAGGCTGGACAACAGCTTCAAGCTCAACAAGCCACAACGTAACACAGAAAATAGGTGTGTTGTTCCTCTCATATTGGGGATTAATCCATGAACCCGCTCAACCACTCAAGTCGTAAATGCCGAGTCATTCCTCTTGTTCACAATATACACACGACAAATCTTCAATAAAAATAAGAGGGGGGGGGGAGTAGGAAGGCTGACCTTTGACAAGGCGCCGCCGTCCTGTCCCCGTCGAGGCCACTGTAGATGGTGGCCCTTAAGTCAATTCATCATACGAGCCCTTCTCCTTCCATCATTCTGAATCATGCTCATCGTACTAACCTGCACTCCCCTAATCCTCCCCCCCCCCCCCACCACCATCTTCACACAATCTGTGGCCAAAATTTCTAGTTTCATTCAGATTTTCATCAAAATATGTCGAAGGTCTCTCTTTGGGTTGTTTTAAGGTGCCTGACAGCCGAGTGGACAGTGCTTCGGATTCGTAATCCTGAGGTTCCGGGTTCGATCCCAGGTGGAGGCTGAAATAAATGGCCACTTTCTTTCACCCTGATGAACCTGTTCACCTATCAGTAAATAAGTACCTGGGAGTTAGGCAGCTGCTACGGGCTGCTTCCTGGGGATGTGTAAGAAAAAGAAGGCCTGGTCGAGGACCGGGCAGCGGGGACGCTAAGCCCCGAAATCATCTAAAGATAACCTCAAGATTGATGGCTAGCTACTGGCATGGCTATTAAGGCCACCACAAGCGCCCTAATGACTTAACTAGCGGGTACACCTATGGCTGCTGCCACCTGACAATCTCCTCTATATTTTGTTTAAATACATAAAATATACAAAATAATAAGGAATAACAACATAAAACATACCCCGAACAATCCTTTCTATATAAAGATATCTGCAACACAAATTTATTTGCACACTAGTAATCAACATGACCCTTGCCAGGCGGCGGCTGGTCGACAACTGAGCCACACGTTAAGAAGCGGGACTCCCAGACGCGCCACTCACCCTTACTTCACCATAATATCTAAACTGTCAACCTCTAATACAGTTAAGCATCTGACCACCAGAGGCGCTACTGCTCCCCTGTTATTACGCCATCCATATAATGATTGCTCTCATTATTCATTGCAACGTTTAAATACATTCATGTTCTGTAGTGACAGTGTCAGACCTCGAAGGAAGAATTGAAACACCCTTCTGAAGATGTATTATTAAATACGAAAATACTTAAGGAAATTCCTGTTTCAATTCTTCCTTCGTGGTCTGACACTGTCACATTTTTCATTACTTTTTAATTGTCGTGATTTACACGCAGATTTTGTAGTGTATATACGACAACTTCAGAAAAGTAATGAGTAGTGGATTTAGTCTAAACAATAATATATGCGTTTTGTTTTTAATGCCAAATTATCTGGCAAATATACATTTGGAGATGTAGCCCAATCCTACCTGTACCCCAATCCTTCCTGTAGCCCAATCCTGCCTGTAGCCCAATCCTTCCTGTAGCCCAATCCTGCCTGTACCCCAATCCTTCCTGTAGCCCAATCCTGCCTGTACCCCAATCCTTCCTGTAGCCCAATCCTGCCTGTAGCCCAATCTTAGCCCAATCCTGTAGCCCAATCCTATAGCCCAATCCTTCCTGTAGCCCAATCTTTCCTATAGCCCTCTTTCCTGTAGCCCAATCCTTCCTGTAGCCCAATCTTTCCTGTAGCCCAATCCTTCCTATAGCCCAATCCTTCCAGTAGCCCAATCTTACCTATAGCCCCAGCAAACACTCGTAGCACAATCCTTCCCCCAGCCCAATCGCTATCCAACATGCCCCCAGCAAACACTCGCTATCCAACATGCCCCCAGCAAACACTCGCTATCCAACATGCCCCCAGCAAACAATCCAACATGCCCCCAGCAAACACTCGCTATCCAACATGCCCCCAGCAAACACTCGCTATCCAACATGCCCCCAGCAAACACTCGCTATCCAACATGCCCCCAGCAAACACTCGCTATCCAACATGCCCCCAGCAAACAATCCAACATGCCCCCAGCAAACACTCGCTATCCAACATGCCCCCAACAAACACTCGCTATCCAACATGCCCCCAGCAAACACTCGCTATCCAACATGCCCCCAGCAAACACTCGCTATCCAACATGCCCCCAGCAAACACTCGCTATCCAACATGCCCCCAGCAAACACTCGCTATCCAACATGCCCCCAGCAAACACTCGCTATCCAACATGCCCCCAGCAAACACTCGCTATCCAACATGCCCCCAGCAAACACTCGCTATCCAACATGCCCCCAGCAAACACTCGCTATCCAACATGCCCCCCAAACACTCGCTATCCAACATGCCCCCAGCAAACACTCGCTATCCAACATGCCCCCAGCAAACACTCGCTATCCAACATGCCCCCAGCAAACACTCGCTATCCAACATGCCCCCAGCAAACACTCGCTATCCAACATGCCCCCAGCAAACAGTCTCGAATTCTTGGATGATGACTCACTTTGCATATTAAACTGGAACATTTTAATTGAATTGCTAAATTATGATACTTCATGTGAAATATAATTATGAATTTATTATTTAAATTGTGTTTAACTTTGTTCCCTAGAGCTTCGAGTTGAGGATTTGAGAAAGCCTCTGTGGTTACTGGGTTCATGATATGAACGAGTACATGTTTGGAGTTGATACATGGTACAGAGGGAACATACTAATAATGAACTCATGGTAATAACATCTTTTGAGAATATTTTGATACAGGCAAGTTCCATTCCTTGTCTTGTATGTAATGATCATGAATGGATGGTGGCAGCATTTCGTCTTCTACTATCTACTCTTCTACTTCTATCTACTCTTCTACTTCTACCAATCTACACCTCTCCCTCCACCCATCTCTAAACTCTCACTTTCAACTAATGACCCTCCTCGCTCCTCCCACCTCCCTACCTCTTACCCCAAACCCTCACTAATTACTTCACTATTCATTTCTTTCCTTTCGTTTCCTCTTATACGTTTGTGGCAGATTCTGTATTCCTAGAGTTCTCTCTAGAGTTTCGGGTAACTGATCAAGTTACGGCGCCTTGTAGTCTTAGCACCTAGGTAGTCAAATACCTAGGTTACAAGGTGTTGAACGAGAGAGGTTGCCTTAGGAACTCTGGAGGGTGCTCTAGAATAGTTAGCTAATTGGGGACGGGATAACGGACTAGAGAGAGCTGTTTCCCCCGGCCTCGTTAGTTAACTGGGGGGTGGAATAATGGACAAGATAGAGCTATTTCCCCCACCCCCCGTTACAGGGTCATTCCTGAACTCGTTCAAAAAAATATGTGCCAAAAAGGAGAAATAAATAAAAAAGGGAACTAGATGGACGAAACATATAGTTTAATGAGCTTTGATAACTAAGCAAACCCTCTGGAGAAGGTCTAAATCTATGAACATCATTGATTATGATATATGACTGAAAACTCACCCCCCAAACTAAAATATTGAAGTTCTTGCGAGGCAAGATCAGGTATAACATTTGGGGTTTACGGCTCATGCTCGGTGGTCATATGGAAAATTTGTTTACCGAGAATTATATAAAATATATATAAATGTATTAATTTCCCCTGTATTAATGTAAATTTATTCTCCAATTTTTGTCAATCGTTTATAGGTAAATAAGTATAACATTCAGTTGTTTTTTTTTAAGATCTTGTTCTGTACTACTGAAACACTTGTTCACTAAGAATTGTAATGTATAATTGCCTTGTAACACTTATGTATATGTAATTTATATTGTATTTATTTAAATAAAGATAAAAAAAAAATTATTAACATTCTGTCTATACTCTATCATCACAATATTCTGGTATACTGGGCGTCTGCTATTAAAGACTCTAATGCTCCTCTGCTGTCAATAAAGAAGCAGGCATTTTTACCACATTTGATTATTTCCTGTAATCCTGCTAATACACCTTGGAGTTCAGCCTGCGTTGAAGAGGCATTGCCAGTTAAGCGGCGTCCAATAACAGTATCTACAGTGCCGATGTCAGTGTACTCCCTGATCAAGACTCCACATCCTGCCTTCCCATCCCTAGCTACTGACCCATCACAATATACATGTAGAGTGTTTTCTGTAGGTAATTTGCTAATTATACAATCATATGTTGCCCTCAGCTCTCCTATTTCATACATTTTTTCTTTTGCAAGGGAGTAATTACTACATCTACATTACAATCCTCCCATAGAGGTGTGAATTGTCTCTTGGGCACAGCAATACACTCTGTAATAACATCATACTTTATAACATTAGAACATGAAGTACTCATATATGCTCTCTTCTTCAACATACACTGTTCATTACTTCCCACCTTTTGAACCGAGAGGATTAATTCATTAGCTCCCACACCTCTCATTAATCTAATGGCAGAGGCTACATTTATCTCTACAATTCTATCCCCAATACTCTGCAGATTCAACTCCATCCTCATTATCTGAATCATAGCATTTCTTGGGCATCTTAAGAAAATTCTCATGGCTTCATTTTGTACCTTCTCCGACTTGCTCATCCTACCTTTACCAAAACAAGAAATGACAGGTGCAGCATAATCAATAAGAGATCTTACAGTACTCAAGTATACCATTCGTAGCACAGGGACTCCCACTCCCTTTCCACAGCATGCCAAGGCCTTCAGAGGTTGTAATCTCTTCCGACATTGACTCAACAGTTTGTTCATCTCAGCTTCAAGGGTATATCCAACATATATGTCTAAATATTTATATATATTAACTATATATTTTTACCGTTTATTTTCAGTATAGTGGGCCTCCGACTTCTACATTCAAACTTAGTTTTGTCTTCATTAACCACCAGTCCCATATGGTGACACAGGTTTCCGAAATTGTCCAACACTGTTTGAACCTTTCAAATATCTTTACCCTGAAACAAAATATCATCGACATATATGATCCGAGTTACCCCATTTGAGTATCTCTTAGATGCTTAGTACATAAATACATTTAATCGCCAGAATCGCACCAAAATATTGTGAATATTAGGGTTTACCCAAAAAGCTGAATAGAAAACCACGACCTAACCTAACCTTCTTAGTGTATGAGTACAAGCAATTTATTGCTTCATAAATACAATAAGTACTTAACCTACAGCTATATTGATATTACAGTTTTAGGAAACGAATAAAACAAAACTAAAATCTTTCAATAAATTGTAAAGTAACTCCAGATATTTTCGAACTTTGCATAATATCTATTGTTTAATAAAAGTGAAAAAGAAATTCTTTCTATTTAACACTTGTGTATATAGAATAAAACATGAAAACTTCATTTTTAAATTCTGAGTGTCTTAACAAGGAGAAAATTTGGTGAGGTAGATGTATAGGCACAATTAAGTGTAATTTTGTACTATTCTTAACAGTCTGAAAATGTACTTATTACACTTAATATTATAAACGGTACTGTCAATTCGGAGGATGCGTTGCAGTAGTCAAACTCATAGGTGTGTATTATAGAGGAAGTATTGACAGATACTGAATGACAATACTGCAACCCGTTCTCGCAAATTCGTGAAGTCAATATTGACTTATTAACTACAGGCATAAATGATATACTAAACATAATAGATACCCCTAAAAAGATTCATAGAAAACACCGACCTAACCTAACCTCTCCTCGGTGTTTTCTATGAATCTTTTTAAGGGTATCTATTATGTTAAGTATGTCACCTATGCACATATTTAATAAGTCAATATTGACTTATTAAATTTGCGAGAACGGGTTGAATACTGATACTGATTGACAGATATAAACAGATACAGACATGTTATATCTGTTAAGGTTTCTTATGTGGACCAGTTAGGGGGTCCAACGTGTGAACGGGTATATTGGTCTACGGTATGGACATATTAGGGTGAAGGGTGTGCACCTCTATGTACATAGTGGACTGTGATGTTTATCAGTAACCTGGCTTTGTAATCACGGTAAAAATAAACTCATTACCAGTAATTGACTGAAATGATAAATAAATTCTTTATGTAATTGTTCACAGACTATTTATATATGATAAATACTAAGTTTTTGGGCTTCTGTGGTCATTCCTTATACTCAAATGTGTACCAAGAGACAAACAGTATATCTTTAAGAGTCTGGTCTAAGTGTTGTTGATTAATACTTA